CAATTTAATATAATAAGTGCTAAAATACAAATAAAGAATTTTTTATCTTAGAAATAAGTTAAATTGTTATAAACATAAATAATTTACGGAAATTTTAATCTTTGGAGGCTATATAACTTTTCTTATATTTTATTAAAATTTTACTTTCCAAATTATAAATCAATTATAAAATTTATTTTTATTTTCCATTATAAATCAATTATAAAATTTTAAATTTTCTGTTAGTTTTAAATAAATATCTATTCTAGATATTTATAATTTATATCAAGCTTTTACAAATAATAAATGAATATATTACAAATTTGTTGATTTTAAAAAAATGCAATAAAGTTTAAGTAATGATCAGTTAAAAAAAATTTTTTTAATAAATATTATATATATTTTATCTTAAGCAATGAAAAATTTCATTTCTCTTAATAAAAACGTGTATTCTTTTTATTATAAAATTATCATAAATGTAAAAAAATATGCAAATAATAAAAGTGTATATCTAAATATTTATCAATATTAATACTAATTATTTGAATGTAATTTACTATATAATTTAATATATTAAATATAAATAAATGAAATTGACTAACATTTGATATAATTTCCATACTTAGTATATTAATACATGTACATACTACATTATTGTTACTAGTACAATAGTAATACAATATTAATTTAACATAAAAATAAGTAAGGAACCTAACACATTTATTCTAAAATTGAACAATTTATTATAAGACAAAGAGAATGACAAAGGTACTTACATATCTTTTTTACATAATATAGTTTGTAATAGCTGCTTATATATCATATTAAATAACTCAATTCTTGAATTTACAAATTAAAAATTATATACTATAAATACCCTTATATTTAATTAATTAATACTCTTATATCTAGAACCAGTCAAATGTGCATTTTTTCCAACCATTAGAGTAGAGATAACATTTTTTACACTATTAATATTTTGTAAACATGATTATTGTTATATAACATTATAACATGATTATTTGAACCTACTTTTGTAATGTGTACTGCATTACACAGTTTGAAGACATTTGCTATAATTAAAAAACACTATGAATTCTTTATGCACTCACATTAAACATAGCTTTGATGCTTTATAATCAAGATTTGTAAAAACATACTTAAAATTTTATTTTTGAATTCAGTCAAACAATATACATGTTTTATAATAGAAAAGATTATCTTGCACCTTGCTTAACTTTCTCTTGTTGTTCTTGTTGTTTCTTCAGTTGTTTTTCTCTCATTCGTTCTGCATCCCTAAAAAAACAAAAATCATTTATTTCATATAATAAAATATATATTAAATAATTAAAAATTAATTATTTAGAAATCTAAATATTATTATTTTTCTAAAATTCTATTAAGATCAATTTAATATTATTAAATACAAAAAAGTATATGTAAATTGAATATATGTAAATTATTGATGAATATACATGTATATTATATCATTTTATATTATAATAATTCATAACTTAAATCTAAAAATTTTATATTTATATTTATTATATATATATTATATATAATAATTTGAATAGCATTTTAAAAATAATAACATACATGAAAATATAAAAAAATAAATATATATATTAAATATTACCGTGCTTTCCGCTGTTCTAATGAAAGACCCTTATTACTTTCTTGTTCAGCTGCTGACTTTCTAACAGTTTTTTTCATATTTTTGGCACGTGCTAGCTCTCGCTGATTTCCACCTATGTGGAAAATATATTTATAAAATATATTAAAGAAATATATTTTTAAAATTATTCAAAAAAATATATTAAAGATTTATTTAGATATAAAAAATTTATATTAAATTAAATATCAAAATGGAACAATGAAAATAAATACTATTTTACACTCTAAAATAATCAATCAATGTATCATAATTATATTAATCATGAATAACAGTTATTCTAACCAATAAAATTTATTTATAAAAGATTTAAATAATGAAAATAAAAATATTTTGAAATACAATATTAACATAAAAAAGTCTATTCAAAATTATAACGAAAATAAATTCATAACAAATACGTAATAAATATAAAATATGAAATTATATTTCAGATAAAAATCATATTAAGAATTTTCTAGAAGTATCAGTTTAAACTTTCAAAATCTAGCTATCGAAATAAAATTATAATACATATTATACAAAATATATAAGAACATGAAAAAAATTATTAAAATAAAAAAATATAAAATATAAAATAATGCAATACAAAAAATATAAATACAGCAAGAAAATTATAAAAGGCAAGTTACGAATTATTTAATCATGAAAATATACACAATTATAAAAGCAAAATTATAATTATTAGAACTCACTTTTTTTATAAATAATAGTATAAATATAAATAATCAATATATTTACAGTTAAATATTGTAATTTTCGATCTTTAAATTATTCACAAATGGCAGACACGAAATTCACATTATTCCAAGATTTCTATTATATTGCGCCTATTTCATGCACTTTTATCAAAATAATAATATAAATTACTTACGGGTCATTCTTTCAGTTCTTGACCTCCGATAAGCAAGTACTTAAAAGTTTGGCCCTGATTGAATGACGCGAAAAAGCACGTCCACACACCTTCCCTCTTTACGATCGTTGACTAATTTCTAAACCAAAATAAATCTTGCGTCGTCTCGGTTGACGAATATCGATGTAAATGCCATCTATACATGGGGTTGATCTTTTTGACATTTCGAAAATGGAAGAAAATGATACCATGTTTAATACAAATATGTTTATGAAATTAATAAAATAAAAATAATTAATATTTTTGCAGTATTTTTATAGTAAAAGTCAATATTATATATTTTTTTAGCAATTTTAAATATTAGAATGTTATATAATTTTATATTTTAAATTTATATAATTTAAACACATTTAAAAAATATTTTTGAAGTATTTTTTAAAAATATTTTTTTAAAAAATATAATTTTACATAAATACTAGATATATATGATATAAATTAATTCTACAATTAGTAATATTATATGAATATTACGTAACTAAATATATATAGAAAAAAAATTGTAAATAAATTTTATTTATTTGATTCAAGTAACTTTGTTCGAAATATAACATGTAATATTATATATTTTAATATTATATTATAATTATTGATTTTATATAAACATTTTTTCTTTTTCTTTCTCTCATATATATAAAAATTTAATATTAAATTCAATTGTTTTCTTATAAATGTGTATCAAAAATTTTTGTTTTTAATAATGATATTAAAATTTTGTTTGATGAAAGAAGAAACATGTAATAAAAAAATATATGCTATATATTTTTTAATAATAAAGAAAATTTTATAAACTTTAAACAATTAAAAAAAATTCATCAAATTTAAAAATTTAATAAATATAAAAATATTATTTTACTGATAATTATAAAAAATACTGATAATTTAAAAAATAATTAATTATAATTATAAATTTTAATATTTTTAATATTTTTAAATAAAATTATTATTAAAATCTTATTAAAATAAGATAATTATCAAAATCAAACAATTTATCAATTTCTTATTTTTTTAATTATAATATTTTTAATACAATTCAATACTAAAATTTTAATTATATTAACTAAACAAATCTTTTATAATATCTTTTATAATAATAATAATCTTCATAATCATAATCTTTAATAACAATGATACTCATTGTAAATTTTTAAATTATAACAAAAAAATTAATTTAAAATAGTTTCTAAAATATTTTGTTACAGATTATAATATATATTATATTATATAATATAATAACATATATCTTATAAATTATTTGAAATATACAATAATTATTTTAACAAAAATATTTTTTAAAACAAGTTAATTATGTTACAAGCAATATTTGATTTAATAATATATTTAATTAAAAAAATTATTTCTTTAAATTCATTTAATAATAAATAATTTCATCATTAAATAATATAAATTAACAAATTATACATCATTAAAATTAATATAATCAAAATAATCTTTGATTTATAAAAAAATTTTATATCTTTTATTTATTTTTTGTATATCTTCTTTTTTATATCTTTATGTCTTTATATCTTCCGGTTTTGTTCTAGATTTTAGATGTTTTCATGTATTATTTTGGTTATTTTATATATTTTAAATTGACGTTTCTATGTTTAATTGTTATTTTGGAATATAAAATTTAAATCAAAATTTAATAAATGTAAGTTCTTAATCAAGAAAATTATTTAGATAACAAATTTCTAAGATTGAAAATATTTCTAATAAAACATATATACAATATGTATTACATTGTATATCATACACAATATATAATATTCACAATGTGTTTATTGTAATAATTGTCAAAATTTTTCAAAAAAGTCTTTTTGCTGATAAAGAAGTTTTGAACAAAAATTAATCATGTTGTATTCAATTTACAACAAATTACAATAATAAAAACTTTTTTTTCAATAAAAGATTAAATTTTTAAGTATTATAATTATATATAAATATTCTTATATATCAGATTACTATAATTTTCAATCACTTGTATAAATACAAAATCAAATTATTTGAACTTAAGCAATTCAATGACTAGATGAATAAGACTACAAATTTTAAGAATAACCAGATATTTTTATATTTATAATATATTAATTATAACAATATATATATCATAATATATTATAATCAATTATCTCTATCATTTCATACTATTAGTTGTATAAATTGTTGTATGAAAAAACAAGATTTTTAAACAAAATCTGAATAACATCAAACAAAATATAAAATGTAATTATTAGATTTTTAATTCGTTAAATATAATATATATGCTATTTTTGTCTAAAATTAATTGTAATTTAAATTTGAATATTGATTGTTGAATAAAAAACTAATAATTATTAACATATTTTTTAAATGATTTACAATGTAAATTATATGTTATTCATTACAATTAAACTAATATATACATTATAATGAGTTCAGTTAAATATTAAAAGTTTTTTGTAGCATTTCTTTTCTATATAATTATTATATTTTTTTTAATATATAAATCGATATATTTTCTTAAAAAAAAAAGTATTAGAAATCTTAGAAAAATGATTAGTTTAGAAATCATGTATTATGTATACAATATATTATATTGAACTGATCGAAAATGAAAAGTAATTATTCCCCAAAAAATGGAAATGGAAATTGCTAAGATTATTCCGAAAATCTCGGACAATTAAAGTATTTATATATCAGCATAGTAAATACCGAGTCAAGCCCGTTCGATTTTTTCTTGGTTCGACCTAAGTGGAATTTCGGGTACCGGCACACTACTAATTATAATCAATACAAGTGTATATATAATAATACTAACATACTTTTAAATAAGATATAGACTTTTTTCATACAATGCTTTTTTTTTATCATAACCAATATTGCCAAAACAATTTCCTATTATAGAAAAAAGACACAATCTACTATAAATACCACTTGATAAGTAGAATTGCAATAAAAATTCCCTCTTGAGGAAATAATATTACGTGACTCTTTCCATTTCATATCATTTCCACTATCATTCTCTATTTTATATTCTATATTCTACATCTACATAATAATTCCTATTTCCATTTATCTACAATATAATCATGTCGTCATAAATACATTGGTTACGGTAAATTTTTCCTCCAATACTTCAAAATGACAATTCTTGGTAGCCATAATATAGAACTTGGCAACATTGAAGTTCTATTTACTATGGTGATAAATGGAAAAACAAAGTATAATGAAATTGCCTGAAATATACATGTATATAAAATATATAATTTTTCTAATTATTATATATAAATAATGTATAAATATTATAAGTAAATAGAAATAATATATAAACAATATATAAAGATATATGTACAAACTTAAATTTGAGGTTATAATGTTTACATTTAAAAATATTTATTTAAAATTACAAATTTAAATTAAACAAATATTAGTGTAAAGTAAATAATTTTGTAAATGAAATTACAATTTTTTAAAATGTTAATCAAACGTTTAAGCTAATGGAAGTGAAAAAAAAAAAATTTCTAACATTAAACAAAAGGATTTAAATAGACATATAAACAAAAATAATTTAATTCATACGAAAAATAAGTTACAAGTATGTAATAAATTATTTGTAATAAATTACTAAAGTGTGTTAAAAGACAGTGTTATAATAAATTAATTCATAAGATCTTGAAAGAAATGTTGAAATAACATTAGTAATTAAATTATTAATAGTGGGGTGTTTAATAGACATATTTTTGAAGATAGAATATCTAAATTAAATATTAATATATTAATTTACAAAATTCTTTATATATTCTTATAATTTTTGCAAAAATTGAGAAGCTAAATTATTATTATTTATTATATCTTCCATAATTGTATATATGAACAAATGACTTCACTTTTTAATAAATAGAGAAATCTCTATATTTATTGAATCTCTTTGTAATCAAAATATACATTATTTATAATTTTATCTTTATCCTTTGTTTTCAATGATTCACAAATATGATAATTTAATATTTTAGAAATAAAGTGAGATCAAAATATGTTTATGATTTTGAATTTATTTTCTATATTCTTTAGGATTTTCACTAAATGACAGTATAGATTTTAAAAAATAAATACATATATAAATTAGAAAAAAGAGAAAGTATAACAAATTTTGAACATGCGAATAAAACATTTTTAATTATATCATTAAGAACTGATTTTATTATATTATGTTATATTATTATAAGTTTAAAAAAGCAGAATATTTTATAAATCTAATTTATGAAATAATGAGATACTGATTTTCTTCAAAATTTCTAATTTTTCAAAATGTAAAAACAGAAATATAATTTTTATTTGATTTTAAAATGATATAATTTCTTTTGTCAACAACAATATAGTACTAATTAAATTTGTGTTAGATGAAGTTAAAGAAAAATAGATTAAATTCGCTTTATTTTCATTATATTATTATCATATTAAAATGTTTATAGCACAAATTTAAATGTTTATAACTTAATAAATTTTTATATATCGATTTTTGCATTTATTTTGATTTTTATAATTAATTTTTTAAAGACATCTGAACATATTAATATCCTATATTTTTCGAAATATGATTTTCTATAATAATAAATAAATTCTATTATTTTTTAATATTTTAAATATTTTTCTTATAATATTATCAAAATATTTATCTTTTAATATTAAAAGAATAAAACAGTTTGATATTGTTAACAGACAATTTCAATCATAAAACGAATTTTATCTTTGACTATTATTATAAATAACAATTTTTTATATAATTTTTTTTATTTATAATTTAAAATATTTTATCTTTTATTTAAAATTCATATATTTTAAATTAATGCAAATTATCCAGTTTTAATTTTATAAAATAAAGATGCAAGATATTATAGTAAATTGTAGCAATATTGTAAAATCACATAAGGTTATACATATCAATATGGCTCATATGCGAAAATTACTGATATTCTTAATAATATATTTCCACATATGAATTATTTATTATATATTTTATTTATACATATATACACAATTGTCTCGATAAATAATTCGTCATTAATTTCCATTCAAGTGGTTATGAAAAATCTGATCATTGAAAAAGTGAGAAAAAAATAATAGTAATAGAATTGAAATAGAGATGAGGAAACAAATGTTTACATTCATTGTATTTTTAGA